CAGTTTTCAGAAGGAATGGGAGCAGGGAAACTAGAGACCAAAAGTGTTTTTGTTTTTTGGCAGACGGAGTCTCACTCCTCAGTTGCCCAGACTGGAGTGCAATGGAGCGATCTCAGCTCACTGCAACCTCCGACTCCCGGGTTCAAATGATTCTCCTGCCTCAGCCTCCACAGTAGCTGGGATTACAGGTGCTCACCACTACACCTGGCTAATTTTTGTATTTTTAGTAGAGACAGGGTTTCACCATGTTGGCCATGCTGGTCTCGAACTCGTACCTCAAGTGATCCACCCACCTCAGCCTCCCAAAGTACTGGCATTACAGGTGTGAGCCACCGTGCCCGGTCAAGACCAAGAGTTTTGATAGCTCCAAGAGTTTTGATAACTCCCTTTTTTCCATAAAGGGGCCCAAGAAACATGGTGGTCATTAGGGAAGTGGGTGGAGACGAGAGGTGTTTCTAAAGATGGGAGAAAGAACAGCATGCGTGTGTGCCAGTGGGAGTCACCCCACAGACAAGGAAGAAAGCAGCGACAGAGGAGGGGGGACTGCTGGAGAGATGTCCTTGTCCTTGAGTAGGTGGCAGAGGGAGGACCTCCTACACAAATGGTGGGTTTGGCCTCACAGAAAGAAGCACACTCGGTTCATCCCTGGCAACAGGAGGGAAGGGGCGGGTGGAGGGAGCAGGGCGTGTGGAGGTGATCTTTTGGTTGCTTTTATTTTCTCAGTGAAATACAGGATGCAAGAGCAACAGGGGAGGGTGCGAATGGGGATGTTCCCATCCAGTTTTCAGGGTCCCATGTGACAGTGCCCCGTGGCTGGCCTGTGTTCTGGGGACAGTCACCGTCCACATGCACTGCAGGGCATCAGGCAGTAGAGGTTGCCTTGAGCAGGACAGAGACAGGCCCACTGTCTAATGTGCCCCTTTTTGCCTCTGCCTCCAGGACTGTCTAACCCGTTCCGGGGTCTCATGAAGCTGGGCACCGTGGAGCGGCGGGGGGCGATGGGCATCTGGAAGGAGCTCTTCTGTGAGCTCTCCCCACTGGAGTTCCGCCTCTACCTGAGCAACGAGGAGCGCACCTGTGTGGAGAACTGCTCCCTGCTGCGTTGTGAGTCTGTGGGGCCGGCCCACAGCGACGGGCGCTTCGAGCTGATCTTCTCTGGCAAGAAGCTGGCCCTGCGTGCCTCCTCCCAGGACGAAGCCGAGGACTGGCTGGACCGGGTGCGGGAGGCCTTGCAGAAGGTCCGGCCTCAGCAGGAGGATGAGTGGGTGAACGTGCAGTACCCAGACCAGCCGGAGGACCCCCCCGAGGCGCCCCAGGCTGGCTGCCCCTCTCAGTCGTACCTGCTCTCAGAGCCTGTGGCCCTCCAGGGCACACAGTTTGACTGGTCATCTGCCCAGGTTCCAGAGCCAGACGCCATCAAGGAGTCCCTGCTGTACTTGTACATGGACAGGACCTGGATGCCCTATATTTTTTCCCTGTCCTTGGAGGCTCTGAAATGCTTTCGCGTCAGGAACAATGAGAAGATGCTGAGTGACAGCCACGGTGTGGAGACCATACGGGACATCCTGCCGGACACGAGCCTTGGGGGCCCGTCCTTCTTCAAAATCATCACGGCCAAGGCCGTCCTGAAGCTGCAGGCCGGGAACGCTGAGGAGGCCGCCCTATGGAGGAACCTGGTCCGCAAAGTCCTGGCATCCTACTTAGAGACGGCTGAGGAGGCGGTGACCCTGGGCGGGAGCCTGGATGAAAACTGTCAGGAGGTGCTGAAATTTGCCAACCGGGAGAACGGCTTCCTGCTGCAATACCTGGTGGCCATCCCCACAGAGAAAGGCCTCGACTCCCAAGGCTGCTTCTGCGCAGGTGCCAACTTGCTCTGCTGCCACCCCCAGCCTGTCAGCCTCATTCTGCCTCCTGCGGGTTCCTGATTTAGGCTCCCCACCCTTCTGCTTCCCCACAAATGCCCCATCCTTCCCCTAGGGGTGAGGCCACAGATGAGGCTTGCCCTGCAGCTTCTGCTCCTCGCTAGCCCCCACTGGGTCCAGTGCCCGGCTCATAGGCAGGGGGCCTAGCTCTCCCCCTCCCTCTCCTGCCACCTCCCGCTGACGGGTGGCAGGCTGGCTGCTCACTGCCCTGCTCAGGGAGTCCCAGCCCCCTTCATTTTCTTCTTGCTCCGCTGTCCCATTCTTTCAGAGCAGGGTATCCTTCCAAAGATTGCTGCTGCTTTTATAAGTGTTTTTTTAATTACAAAAATGGGCTCGTGCTATTCAGTGCTGTCCAATAGAACTTTCTGTGACGATGAAAATATCCTAGGTCTGTGTGTCCAGTGCTGTAGCTACGAGCCACGTGTTGCTACCATGTGGCTAGTTTAGTTAAGCAACTGAATTTTCCATTTAAATTCACCTACATTTAAAGGGGGCGCACGGGGCTTGTGGCTGCTGTGTTGAATGCTGTATATATTGTTCTACAACTTGCTTTTTTCCTACATTGTGGATGTTATTCCAAATCAGTACATCTGCTGGGTCTTCCTCATCATCAAATCTAATACTTCTGTGCTGGGCACTGGGCCAGCTGCTTTATTTGGATTATCTCGTTTAAGTCTCATAACAACCCTGTAGAGATAGGTGCTACTATGATCATCTCTGTTGATGGGGGGGAACCGAGGCACAGAGCTGGTAAGTACCTGGTCTCTGGCTCACATAGCTAGTAAGTGACAGAGGCAGAATTTTCCTTTTTTGTTTGTTTGTTTGTTTGTTTGCTTGCTTGTTTTAGTAGAGATGGGGGTCTCCCCATGTTGCTCAAGCTGGTCTTGAACTCCTAGGCTCAAGTGATTCTCCTGCTTTAGCCTCCCGAAGTGCTGGGATTACAGGTGTCAGCAACCATGCCTGGCCAGAGGCAGATTTATAAAATAATGATAGCTCTTACAGTGTATTGTAAAGACTAATGAATAGGGTTCCAGAGTCTGTGCTCATAGACAAGACCCTAGAGGGCATCCCTCTAGGGTATTATTCAAGGCTGCGTGATGTCCGATTGCCCACGTTCCATTGTTAGCTCCTCCCACTACCCCCGCCATCCAGGGGCAGATGGCATCCCATCACCATGGGGCCCTCAGGTGACCTGTGAGGGGGTTGCCCTGCTGCAGAAGGCCAGAACAAGAAGCTGAGCCTTGGTTTGGAAGCTATCCTGTTGGCGTGGACTAGAGGGAAGCCTGCTTCAAGCATCTGAAAGGAAGTGGTCTGTGGTTGGCCCCAGAAGGATAGGAGAAACTAGGCAGAGCAGAGCTTACTACAGAAAACACCTGCAAGCCTCACTTGGCCTCTCCCCTGCCTGCCCCAGCTCTCACATTTTGCTCTTCAGCCTGTGGGGGCCAGGCTCTGAGGGGGCCAGGACTCTGGGGCTTGTGAGAAAGGGTTTCTTGCCTGTGGGTGTGAATGTTACAGGGGCAGCTCTCACCATGGCTGCCACCCACCAGCCTGCGAGTGGGACTGTGCCACCAGGGAGTTTGGGTTTCCTTTCTACCCAGCAGGCATGGCTCAGTGGCAGACACCAACCACTGGCATCTGGGTTGTATTTCATAATTTGCAGGGCACTTTTGCAGAACCTTGTCTCATTTAAGCTTTGTAATAACCCCACAAAATAGCTGGTAGTCATTGAATTTTACAGACGCTGAAATGGAACCTTGAAGAAATTAGGTGAAGGTCAGAGTGAGGCAGCTGGTGAGCAGCAGAGCCTGCCCTCAGGTCCCAAGGCCCAGGGACCCTTCTGCCTGCCCCTGGGGGAGGTAGGGCACATGTTCAGGATTTGAGTCAGGGCCTTTGCTTTTTGCCCAGGGCAAACCCCACTCCCAACTCCCACTGGCCCCAGCTGTGGAGACACCTCCAACTGAGGGGCCGGAGCCAGCCCTGCCCCACAGTCCTGAGGCATCAGACACTGTGCAGACTGCCCTGCCCCCTGCTGGCTGCCCCTCCGCTCCCTGTGGCCAGCCCTGACCCCAGCCCCTGCCCCACTCCACTCCTGACTTCACTGCTCACCAAGCCCCCTACTCTGCTGCTTCCATTCTGGGACCCAGTGGAGGGGTGGACCTACAGGAGGCTGCCATTGGCGAGCCAGCAGTGGGGACACTGGACACAGGCAGCAAGGGGTAGTGGAACTGAATGCAGGCTCTGGAACCAGCCAAACCCAGATCCGAATGCCAGCCATGCCACTTCATCACTGTGTGACCTCTCTGAGCATCTATTTCTTCAGCTGTAAAATAATGATAGTTCTTAACAGTGTGTTTTAAAGATTAATGAATGGGGGTGGTTCTGAGTGGTGGAAATACGAGTGGTGGTTATTCTTATCTTTGTATTTACCTTTAAAAAAAAAATTAACTGGCAGATCCTTTCCACCGCAGCAGCTCCCAAGTTACTAGGAGCTGACTCTGGCCACACCACTCACTCTCTGCCCGTCTCCCCAGGCTGCTCCCGGCAGATCGGCTTCTCCTTTGTACGACCCAAGCTCTGTGCCTTCTCTGGCCTCTATTACTGTGACATCTGCCACCAAGACGATGCCTCAGTGATTCCAGCCAGGATCATCCACAACTGGGACCTCACCAAGCGCCCGGTAAGTCTCGAACCCAGCCTGTCATAGCCATTCAGGGCTGCTGAGAGCCAGAGGGGTGTTCACTCCTCTTTGCTGCTGCTGTTCATCTGTTTAGAGGAATTTGGCTCCTCTTAACAAGGGAAGCCAGGGTCACTGGTTCAGGCACTGTGATGTGGGGGTGGCTAACCAAGAGAAAAGCTTGGTGCCTGTACACAGACCTGGGCAGAGTTCCATCGGTGGCTGTCTTGGTCCCCAGGGGGGAATCTGAAGATGATTTCCTGCAGCTACAAACATAACTGCTTAAGGCACCAGCAGATAAATGATAGATAGATAGATAGATAGATAGATAGATAGATAGATAGATAGATAGACAGAGAGAGAGAGAGAGAGAGAGAGAGAGAGAGAGGATGGATGCATGGCTAGGTGGATGGGTAGGTAGGTAGGTGGATGGGAAGGTTGGTAGGTAGATGGGCAGGTGGTTAGGTGGATGGGTAGGTGGATGGGTGGATGGGTTGGTGGGTAGGTGGATGGTAGGTAGATGGGTGGATGGGTAGGTGGATGGATACATAGGTAGGTGGATGAGTGGATGTCTGATTTGTAGATGGATGGGTAGATTAGTGGATGGGTGGATGGGTTGGTGGATGGATACATGGGTAGGTGGATGACTGGATGTGTTGGTTTGTAGATGGATGGGTAGATTGGTGGATGGGTGGATGGGTAGGTGGATGGGTACATGGGTAGGTGGATGGGTACATGGGTAGGTGGATGACTGGATGGGCTGGTGGATAGGTGGATGGGTAGATTAGTGGATGGATACATGAGTAGGTGGATGAGTGGATGGGTTGGTGGGTAGGTGGATGGGTAGATAGATGGGTTGATGGATGGGTAAATGGGTGGGCAGATGGGTGAATAGGTAGGTGGATGGGTAGATGGGCTGGCCAGTGAGCTGGCTATACCTTAGAGCAGTCATCCTTGCCTTTGCCAGCCTTATGAGGCCCAGGTGACTGCATCCCTGCAGGCCCTGCATGGGCTTATTTATTTCATGCTTTTGAAAAGCACTTTTTCTGTGCCTCCCCCATTATTAAGATAATACATAGTTATTGTTTAACATTTTAAAATTACAGAAAAGCCCAAAGACCAATCAAAATTCTGTGTCATAACTCAGCGATCACCATTATTAACATTTCGGGGTATACCCTTCTCTGTGCATTTATTGACACATGCGTCTATTTTTTGTAAAGTTGAGCTCAGACAGGACTCATACTGCTTTATAACAAGATTAGTTCACTTAATATTATACCTTGGACACTTTTTTAAGTTCACCACATGCTTTTGAATAAAATGTATCCTAAAGTCTCAGAATTTTCCTTTTCTGCAGCTGAACTTAGCCAGTTTTCTAGCTGTGTCACCACAAGCAAATTAACTTCAATTTCCTCATCTATAAGGGGAGGGTTAACAACAGTGTCTGTGTCGGGGTTGTTGGGCGGGCAGGTGTGGCAGTGTGTGCCTGTCAGAACAGGGTCCTTTCCCTCCCCGGGGCCTGTCATACCTCCTGCCCTGGGCCATCTGCCTATCCACCCGTCTGTCTCATTCACTTGGTCAGTGTCTGCCTCAAGGGGTGCAAACTTGGTTTTCTTCCAAGGGCACAGATTTCTACTAGGACAGATACAGAAACACAAGGAAGAAGCTGTTTGCTTCTCTGGAGAGCCAGGCCTGGCAGCTGTGTAGTCCTGATGTGTGGATGTGTCTTCATCATAGTGCAGAGAGGGTGACTCTCTGAGTCAGTTCAACCTCAGCTTCCACCTCCTTCATTGTGGTTTTTTTTGTTGTTTGCCTTATCCCCACCCCTGCTCTCAGTGTTAAATATTTAACTAACTACATAGAGGAAATTAAACCTCAAAATCACCAAAAATGCAGAGAACCCTTTGACCATAAAACACATTCACTGTTTAGAGGACCCTGATACTTCCATTGAGCCATCTCCTTATTCACTGCCCTCATCCTTGTGCCACTTCCTTTTCACTTTCTTTTCTAACTAGAAAATTACAATCCTTCTCTAGGAATATCTGAAATCAGGAAGTCCTCAGCTTACTCTCCCTCTCGAAGATTGCTGGCCTAGGAAAGACAGGAAAATTCAAGATAGAAAGTGGCTGGCCCACGGGTTTGGGGCCTTATTGTTTGCCATTGCTGTTCTGGCTGACCCCTTTGTGCTGAGGCCTGGCTGGCACTGGCAGGATGTCAGCCCAAGAGTGGGGCTTCTCTCTTTGTCTGTCTCCTCCATTCCCACAGGATAGGAACAGTCACTGAGGAGCACAAAGCCCCTGCCCATCTGCAGCACTTGGCAGTGTTCAGTGCACATTCCTGTGTGTTATTTCATCAGAGCCTCACCTAAGGATTGGGGCCAAGTCATGGGAAGAGCTGAGTTAGGGTTGGAGAATAAAAGTTTGACCCAAGTCACCAGGAGTTTGCCATTGGGCTGTCCCTAGGCTGGGTGGGGAGGGGTGAGGGGCTGGTACCTCAGGGCCCTAGGCTACAGGAAAAGAAGGGGTTCCCCTGCTGGGGGAGGTGAGAGATGCTGGTGGAGCTGGGAGACAGGAGGTCAGAGGTCCTTCCAACCCCTGAATACAGGGGCAAGTCTCCTGAGGGCCCATTCGGTCCTCCAACCCTCAAGGGGACAACAGAGCCATACCAGGCACTCATACAGCAGCTGATAGCAGGCTCACATTTACTGAGGATGTGCCACCTGCCAGACCCTGTGCCAGGAGCTCTCCTGGAATACCTCTTTTAATCTAAATTCAAAATAAACCCATGAGAAAGAAGCCCTAGTCCTGGCTGACATCGTGCCGAGTGCCAGGCCTCAGCACTACAGCAGCAGCAGCAGCAAACGAAAAGGCTCCAGACCCATGGACCTTAGTTGCTTTCATTTTCCCCACTTTACAGATGAGGAAACTGAGTCACAGAGAGGGATGAGTTTCACCAGGTCATATAGGTAGAAAGTGGTGGAGGCAGGATTCAATTCAGTTCTGACTCCAAAGCCAGACTTTTTTTCCCTACACAATTTATTAGAATTTGAAAGGTTGCTGGATACAACAGTCAAATAAATCAATTTCATTTCTATATATCAGCAAACAAATTACTATTTTAAAAGGTAATAATGTCAAAAACAAAGCCACCAGAAATAAAACAAAATATGTAAAGAGAGGACTAACTAAGATGTTAAAGATCGGGGCCAGGCGAGTTGGCTCTCGCCTGTAATCTCAGCACTTTGGGAGGCCAAGGCAGGCAGATTACGAGGTCAGGAGATCAAGACCATACTGGCTAACACAGTGAAACCCCATCTCTACCAAAAATACAAAAAATTAGCCAGGCGTGGTGGCACATACCTGTAATCCTAGCTACTTAGGAGGCCGAGGCAGGAGAATCGCTTGAACCCAGAAGGCTGAGGTTGCAGTGAGCTGTCATTGTACTCCAGCCTGGGTGACAAAGTGAGACTCCATCTCAAAAAAAAAAAAGAATGCAGGGGAAGGGGCTTCTGGTGAGTGTAGCAGCCTGGTATTCAGAGATGACACCTGAGCTCAGACCTGGCAGATTCTGCAGGCAGGTTTTATAAGCCATGTTAGCTGCTCTAAGCCTCCGTTTCCTCACCTAAGAAAATGGGGACGGGACACCCTCCCTAACGGGTCCTTCTGAGGATGAAGGAGGGATGTGGTCAAGTTCCTGGCCCAGTGTTTTGCAAATAGCAAGCACTCAATTGTTGGCATTGGTATTAGGATCAGGGCTGAGGGTAGAACCTTCAACACCCTGTCAGCCAGGACAGATTGAGATGGATCACTCAGCTGCACACGGAGCCCTGGTGTTGCTGCTGGTGTGAGCCGAGGAAGCTCGGGGAAGCCTGTTGTTGGGCTGTGTCTGATCTGTGGCTTCCTGTGGCTGGAGCCTGACTCAGCCAGTCACCTGGTTCCTGAGTCAGGGCACAGAGGGGAGTGCCTGTTTCCTTAGTCGGGGGAAGTAGGGGCTGGGAGGACAGGAAAGGATCTGTGAGGCCAAGCGGGGCATTAACCAGGGCAACAAGAGCAGTCCCTTCCTCATCTTAGCATGGTTGGGGAGGGGGCAGCAACCCTTGCCATTAGAGGGAGAGTGGGTTTGGGAGTCAGATAAACTGGGTTCAGAGCTTGACTGTACCATTGACAAGCTGGGTGACCTTGGCCAAATCCCCTCATCTCCCTGAGCCTCAGTTTCCCCATCTGTAAAATGAAGCTAGCCCCTCAGGTAAGTGAGCAGGTCGTGTGGCACCTGGCCGGGCAGTGCTCACTGAACAGCCATTCCTTCCCACCCCCAATGCCTGGCGATACCCCTAGATCTGCAGGCAGGCCCTGAAGTTCCTGACACAGATCCGGGCCCAGCCCCTCATCAACCTGCAGAAGGTGAACCCGTCTTTGTACGAGCATGTGGAGCGGATGCACCTCATTGGGAGAAGCCGGGAGCAGCTGAAGCTCCTGGGGGATTACCTGGGTCTGTGCCGGAGCGGTGCCCTGAAGGAGCTCAGCAAGAGGTGAGCACCCTCTACGTGCATGCACACAAATATGTACACACAGACACACATGCACATATGCCCATGCGCACAAACACATACACACACATGAATGTGCACACAAATGCACAGACATGCACACGTGCACGTGCACACAGATGTACACACATGCAGGCACTCGTGCGCGCGCGCGCGCACACACACACACACACACACACACACACACACACACACAGGGGGCAGTGCCCAAGGCAAGGCGTCCCCCTGGAGGAAACCTGGGCAGAGATCTTCCTATTTGGCCTGGGAAACGATCACATCTTTTGGGAGTGATTTTGGGGTTTTGTTCATGTATCCATTTGTTCACTCCAAAACATAGACAGAACATGCTAAGTACTGCACACCTGGCAAGGTGTGTGGGCTTCAACACTGAGCAGGGCAGAGCCAGGGCCGGCCCTCCAGAAGCCTCTGGCCTGGCAAGGAAGACAGGTGGGAAAGCCAGCAACTCCATCCAGGGTGAGGGTGAGAGGGAAGACAGGTGGGAAAGCCAGCAACTCTATCCAGGGTGAGGGTGAGAGGCAGGACATCCTGGAAGCACAGAGGCTTGACATCCAGCCCAGATCAGAGGAGGACAAAGCAGGAAGGACTTCCTGGAGGAAGTGACTTCTTAGGTGAGACCTGAAAAATGAAGAAGAATTAGAAAGGGGAAGCCAAGCGTTAAGAGTGTTCCAGACAGAAGGAACAGCACGAATAGGCCATGAGCAAAGTCACCATCCGTGGAAAGCCCAAGGAGAACTTTGGCCACAGCTAGGAGGGAAGTGGGGAGTGTGGCAAGAGCAGACAAGGGCCAGATGTTCCCGCCTCTTCTCTGTCCCACGGCAGCCTCCCTCCTGAAATTCTCCAAAGATGATGTAATCGGGGCAGAGCCCTCAGGATGCCCTTCAGGAAACTTCTCTTACCCAGGGCCTGGGGCCTTTGGCGCTTGGGGATGGGATGTGATGCTGGGCTTCTCCAAGCCTGTCATAAATGTGTCCTAGTCCTCAGGTCACAGCCCGGGCCGCAGCCTTCCCAGGGCTCTGTTCTCCCTCGCCCTCAGGATGGCAGACTTCAGGTGGAGAAGCCTGCTTGTGCCTACTGCCCAGCATGGGCTTCAAGTCCGCCTCTGCTGGGTTTCTGCGGGCAGCGACCAGCTTGGGCCTTCCCTCCCCACAGGGCTGTCCCAGAGAGCGCCTCTCTGAAGGCCGCCTCCTCCATCCTGGCTGTAGTGCTCCCAGAGCTGGGCCTCCTCAGGGCCAGCGTGTGCCCCAAGCAGGTCCCCTGGGGCTCTCAAGGGGTGCTGCAAGGTGCTCTCCCCTAGGGAAAGAGGAGACCCTGGCCCCACAGCTGCCAGCTGAGCCCTTGGTCTCCTCTGCAGGGCCTGGAAGAACAGAAAGCCCTCTGGGGGCCACCCTATAGGACCCTAGACCCTCGAAGGCTTTGTCCCAGGAGGCTCTGTCCATCCCAAGCATCTGTGGGTGACTGGGTCTCCACCTCTTGGAGAGCGCTGACTCACTCCCTACCTCTGAGAGCCCATGACCCAGGGCTCCAGAGAGACTACCCTGCAGCCCACCTAACCAGGTGGCGGAAATCTCTGGGGTCAGTGGGGCCTCATTACCCTCCCTGGTCAAGGAGCCTGCAGAGGCCTGCAGACCTGTGTAGACCAGCGGCCTGTGGGCTGGGTTGTGGGCCCCAGCCCCATTCACCCGTCCCTGCCCTGCTGAGAGAGTTTGTTCATCAGCTTTACCAACCTGTCTCTGTGGGCACCAGGGGCAGCCCTGTCTGCCTCTC